TCATTTCTTTCTATTTTTTAGTAGAGACGGGGTCTCACTCTTGCTCAGGCTGGTCTCGAACTCCTGACCTTGAGCGATCCACCCGCCTCGGCCTCCCCGAGTGCTAGGATTACAGGCGTGAGCCACCGCACCCGGCCAGAGCCTTCATTCTTTCAATTTTGAGTATGAAGTTAGCTGTCAGCTTCTTATATACTTATTATGTTAAGTAGATTCCTTGTGTTCCTAGTGTGTTTAGTGATTTCGTTATGTAACATTTTTAAGGGGCTTTTTTTGCATCAACTAAGATGAATGTTTGGCCTTTTTCCTCTATTCTGTGGAGAAAGACACAGATTGATGTTTCTAAGTTGCAACCCCCTTGCATTCCAGGAATAAATCCCATTTTGTCATGATGTGTTATTATTTTCAGTGTGCTGCTGAAAATTTGTCTTGCCAGCAATTTGTTGAGCACTTTTGCATTTGATTAATCAGGAATATTGCTCTATAGTTTTCTTTTCTTTTAGGGCCTTTATCTGTCTTTGCTGTCAAGGTGACACAAGCCTCGTTGATTGAGTTTGGAAGTGTTCCCTCCCTTGATAATTTTTGCAAGATTTTAAGGAGTGTTTGTGTTAATTTTTTTTTTTTCCAATATTTGATAGATTGCCATGGCAGTCATCTGGGTCTGTACTTTTCTTTAATAGGAGATATTTGATCACTGACTGAATGTTTTTGTCACTGGTGTGTTTAATGTTTCTAGTTCTTCATGCTTAAGTGTTGGTAAGTGGTATATTTCTAGAAATTGATGCATTTCTTCTTGGTTATTAAATTTATTGTTATATGATTGTTCAATCTCATTCTCTTAATTTCCTTTTGATTTTCATATAATCAATTGTGATGTTTCCTTTTCTGTTTCTAATTTTAGTCATTTCTGTCCTCTGAGGTTTTTTATTTTTTATTTTATCTGGCCAAGGGTTTGTCAGTCTTCTTATCATTTAGCGTATGATCTGTTACTTCTGTGATTTTCTGTAGTGCTTTCCCAGACTCTACTTTGTTTGTGTTCTAATCTTTATTCCTCTTTCAGCTACCATTGTATTTAGTTTGTTCCTGTACTTCATTGAAGTAAAAAGATAGGTTCTTTATATGTGATTCTTGTTTATTTTTAATGTAAGCATAGATAGTTATAAATATCTTTGCCAGCCCTATTTTTGCTACATTTTATGTTTGGGTATGTTATGTTTTCCTTGTCCTTTGTATCAAGATGTTTTCCAATCCCCCTCCTGATTTCTCTTAAGAAATTGGTTTCATTAATATAAGTGTGTTGATTAATGTGTACAGGGTGTTACTATTCTTGTTTTGCTTTTGTCTCTTATAACAACTTTGTGAAAACCTCCATGCTCTCTGCTGTTTGTATCGCCACTTCTGCTCTTTGCTGGTTATCATTTGCATGGAAAATCTCTTTTATTCCTTTCAGTTTCAGGATATGTATGTCCTGTTAGTTCAAGGGAGTCTCTTCAGGACAGAGGTTAGTTGGTCCTGTTTTCTTCTGATTGCAAAGTTAAACGCTTTAAAGTGATCGGTCACATGGAAAGCCTTACTACTG